TCTGATACTTAACAAAAAGGTGTTTCTCTGTGGGACAAAAGGTGTTCAAAACGGTGAAGTCCAACAGGAGAGCAAAGAAATGGCAACTTTTGTGGGCATTGCTGGTGAATTTGGTGACAATCCAAATAGTGAATGGTGTTGTACCTCAGATGTTTTGAGCAATTTGTAACCTGCAACATCATTCCAAATGAACGAGTTTCAACCTTGCTGACAGTGATGGGTCTGAAGGCATATGGACTGCTATTATCTCCAACTGTGTCCGGAACCGCTACGTCCACAGCATTTTTCTTTTACCCCATCAATGATAGCAGATCATTATTGGTTCCATCAGGGAAGTGGAGAGTTGGTAGCATAGTTTGTTGCTGCTCTAAGGAAGTTGTTCGAGCATTCTCAGTTTGGGTAAACATTAAGTGATGCCCTGATTGATCAATTATTCTCTGGATTAAGCAATGATCCAATTTGGAAGATGTTACTGATTGTATCAATGCTTACATTCAAGAAGGCTGTTGAAGTATCAATTGCAATAGAAACTGCAGTGAAGAAGTCTCTGGAATTTAGTGTGAACCAAGAAGTTCATCTCATGAATCGGTGAGACAGAAGACCACAGGAATGGAAGGAATTTCCATGTGGCCATTGTGCACAAACTACATACACTGAGAAGGATTGCTGGCCATGCCAGTTTATTTGCAGAAAGTTCCAGAAGAAAAGAGATGTTGCCATGACCTGTCGCTCAGCTCAGCGACCAACACAGAGTAACCATCCATCCAAGAAGACACCTATGAAGATTGAACCTAAGAAAGGATGGAATTCGGGAATTCATAATGTAGAAAAAGATGAGCTCTAGTGACAATGACCGAGACCTAGCATTACATTTTGTTATCAGAAGCTGGAGTCAGCGATGGCATCTGGGTCATACCTTTGATCAAAGGAGTTCATACAAGAATGGAGCATGATACTGAAGCTGCCATCTCACTGATTTCTGCATCTACCTATCACCAGACTTTGTCAATAGTTCTTCTGGAATCAACTTACACAGTTCTGAAGACTTATACTGGGGAAAAGTTTGGTCCCAAAAGCGGTACTCCAGGTAAAGTTTCAACTAGATGGACAATTAGTTGTTTTACACTTTTACAATATGTGATTGAAGGAAAGTATCCACTATTATTTGGTAGATCTTGGCTTGAAACACACTCAGTGTGAGTTGGATTGAGATCAAGGCGATCATGAAAGCACCTCAAAATCTTCAAAAAGAACAAGGAGTACTTGTGGCACCTTAGAGGGTTTTAGCCCATGAAAGCTTATGCTCAAATAAATTTGTTAGCCTCTAAGGTGCCACAAGTACTCCTCGTTCTTTTTGCTGATATAGACTAACACGGCTACCACTCTAAAACCTGTCAAAATCTTCAGGAAATATTTGACAGACATTCTAAAGTTTTTGAAAAAGAACTTGTACAGATGAGCAACATGTCAGTGAAGCTCACTGTTAAGTGTGACAGCCAGCCAAAATACTGCCAGTGCAGAGTTGTGCCTTATGCTCTGAAGCCTCTGGTGGAGGCTAATTTGGACCGTTGAGTGAGAATATTGGAATCTTGTCACTGGTTTCACACAGTGAGTGGGCTATACCCATTGTACCAGTGATCAAGAAGGATGGCTCAGGTCGAATTTGTGGAGATTTCAAAGTGATGCTGAATCCAGTTTTATGTGCAGACCAGTATCCACTACCTCCTATTGAAGATTTGTTCACTACTCTTAGTGGAGGACGTTGTTTCAATAATTTGGATTTGCTCAATGCATACCTACAAATAGAAATTGATGCAGCATCTCACAATCAACATACAAAAAAGGTTTATTTTGTTACAACAGGTGACTTTCTGGTATCACATCAACACCTGCCCTGTTCCAGAAAGCCATGGATGAGATCCTGAAGGACTGAATGGCATACAGTGTTATTTGGACAATGTCCTTATTACAGGAAATGATCAAGAGTGCTTTTTTCCATTTATATTTGGCAAAAATTTCTTTTGGATGCAGACCTGTCACAGTCTTTTGTGTAGAGACACAGGAAACCATGGCAGGTCACTTCTAGAACAGATTACTGCAATGTGCTCTGTACAGCTACTCCTGAGAACCACTTAGAACGTTCATATAGTACAGAGTGACTGCCAATTTTACTTCTCATTTGAAGCATGCTATGCTTGTGCTCCACAGATTGCACTGGCTTCGAGTTTGTTTCCAAGTGACCCAGCCCTAAATGGTTTAGGTCCTGGCTTCCCCTCTCCCTGTAGGATATCTCAGCACTTGACATGCTAGACACATGTCCTCCTGGTCAAACAGGACAGGGCTGGTGACAGGACATTTTCGATTAAAGGCATTTTACACTAGAATTTACTACCGCCACCATTTTGATCCAGTGGAGCCAAGCCATTGACCTTCAGGGCAAGCTAGGAGTCTTATCTATTTCTCTAGGCCTTTCCGAGGGGGTGGTTAAGTGGGTGAGAGTGGATTGAAAGGAGAAGAGTTGTGGTCCTAAAGGGCTGGGTAGGTATTAATGTTACATTCTTTATGTATGTTTATGTTATGTAGGCACTTAGAGCAATGAATAGGGGATTTTAACAATATATACATAAAGGCACTAAGCCAAGACCACGTGTATGATGTACAAGGATGGCCTGAAACTGCTTGCTTCATATGTTACAAGTATTGGGGATTGCCTTCTCTCTGGTTTAGTTGAAGGACCTGCTTGATGTCTCTGAGCATGTTAGTGAACTTTTTGCACCTTAATTTAAAGGGTGGAGGTGTGAATCTTTAGCAAAGATATCCTCTGTCCAGAATGCTAAGTATACTTTTGTGACAATGTAGCCCTGTGTCCACACCCTATACACTATTGTAATAAATGATATACAAAGTATGCCTTGAGAGAGATAATTTGAAAACTCATAATTTGCTGGTCAATGTTGCCCTGATAAAATGTGTGGCAATATTGTATGTAGAGTTATAAGGTTTCTCTGTATAATGTTGTTAACATGTTCCAAACCACAGCAGAAGTTGGCAAACAGGCCTGTCTCAAACAAAGGAATGTGTGCACTGCTTAATTTGCATTTAAGTAGTAAACAGAGTCATCAAGCAGGAAGGGTAGACAAAGAAACTCCAAACATGTGAGGAAAAGTAACAGGGAACATCCTTCTCCGTAGACTTTTGTCTCCAGAATCTCAGCTGGAAATGTTTATATAAAAAGGAGAGCCAGACACGCCAACGCACCCCCTCCTCTCTGTCCATCAATTCATGTTCCAGAGGTGAAAAAGAAGCACCTATTGAACTTGAAAAGGGGTCCTGGCATAAGCAGTTTGGTCAGTAAGACTGATGAGAGTATGTGATGAGAAAAACTTTGCTTTGAATTTAACATAGTTTATGTTAAGCATCAGTTGCACTTTATTTTTCTTGTAACCGTTTCTGACTTTTATGTCTCATTACTTGCAGTCACTTAAAATCTCTCTTTGTAGTTAATAAACTTGTTTTGTTTGTTCTAATCCAGTGTGTTTAAATTGAAGTGTCTGGGAAATCCCATTTGGGCTAACAAGGTGGCACGTGCATATTATTTCTGTTAAAGAAATATGGACTTTATATGCATTTGTACTGCTTAGGAGAGGGCTGGGCAATTCAAGACATACATTTCTGGGGGGAAATCTGAGACTGGGATTGTGTAGGGGTCACCTTGCATTATAACCAAGACTGGTAAGAGCAAAGGTGTATGGCTGGCTGGCTGCAGCACACACAGGTGTAGCTGGGAGTGACTTGCATGCTGGAAGCTGTTTGTGAGCAGTCCAGGGTGGAAGCTACAGCAGTAAAGCATTGTAAAGGGCACCTTAAGTGAGAGGGCATGGGTGACATAGCTGCTCATTAGTTTGGATTGTACCCTGGGTATGTCACAACATTGGAATAGGTGTTAAAAAAAAAACCCAACAGATTTTAAGCTGTCTAAAAATCCCTTTCCCTCCTAATTGTTTGGGGGTTTTTTGGGGGGGGGGGAGAGGTTTTTTGCAGGGGAGGTTGAGGGTTTTTTCTTTCTTTCAGTCTTTTTTACTCTTGTGATATGGTCATTTCCTTAGTTCTCCAGTTCACACTAGGGAATTCTAGCAACCATGTTTAAATGACATGGCAGTAAAAACCCCATAAGCCACTGGAGTCTTGTCTAAAAGAGAGGCCCCACCACCAGCGCAGCTGAACTGGTGGTATCATCAGACGGAATTTTTTTTATTATAATTCCCTAGTGCAGAAAGCCTTTCAGAGTAGATCAGCCTAAATTTCTAATGTAAAAACGAGCAGGACGATTTTTTTTTTTAAACTTTCAGTTCTTTATACATCATAAAGAAGCAAAAAAGGGTACAAGCCCAAATATTTTTTCTGTTGTAGGTTGCCTTTAAGAAGGAAGTTTAAAGTTTTTTGTGTTTAATTTCTCTGGAAGATAGGAATTACTTTAAATTTGGGAGGCACTATAATAAACAATTTTAATGACAGGCGATTATTCTGTTGGGCTGTGACTTGTACAGAGGTCCCTCATGCTCTGCCTGTGTTTTTTTCCCCCTTGTCTTTTTAATCAGATCTCTTGTATGGAGCTGCCAGAGGAGCTGCAGCAGCTGGCAGATTTCCAAAAGTTGCGAAGAGAGAAAGCATTAAAAAAGTACAAGGTAAATGAGGAGGGTCTCCTGATCAGACCACCACTGGAATCCAAAGGAAAGAAGGCAGCAGAGGTGGAAGAAAAACAAGGAGAGGATAGTTGTTGGCTTTCTTCTAATGGAGCAGCCTTACAAAAGACATCCTTCCATCCCCAAGATCCACTTCATCAAAATGATGATGAGCAGAAGCAAGTGGTAGATCACTGGGAAAATAAAAAGTCTAGAATCGGCTATAAAAATCCATCCTTCGAAATGGAGGCAGGAGCAAGAGACTTGGTCAGCTGGAACTCTGTATCGGAAAACACCCAAGCAATGGGGAAGGGATTCTCTCCAGAGCAGAAACCTCACACACAGGCTGCTGGATCTTTACAAGAAGAGAGAAGTCTATTGTTTACGGGAAACCAGGATGAAGACTTATTTTGTGCAAAGCATAGCACCATTGTGTCTGCCTCTACTCCTCCAAAAATTAGAAATTCTCTTCAAGATTCATTTCAGGTTCCACGGCAGCCCTCACTTTCTGTACTGCCTCCTTGCCCAGTCCTAGAGACTGTTGGTTTGTGGCAGAACCCATCCTTGAAGATGACCCAGACCTACATTTCCAATTTCCCAGTAAGGCCAGAAAGGGAAGGGAGTTCAGCAGTTCGCTTTGCCTTCCCTTCAGGTCTCAGCTGCCGGATGCCAGCACCAAGCCCTGCAGGAAAATAGCAGAGCTATTTTCATTACTCTTTCAAAAAAAGAAAAGATCATTGTCTCCACCGTCCTGTCAGTACAAGTGTCTTCAAGAATTTTTAGGTATTGGAGAAAAGTATTTCATTTCTATGTTCCCCACTTGTTGAAATAGTTCTACCGAACTCTCACCCAGTTCCAGCAAAGCTTCTGTAGTGCAGACGAGACCCTACTGTAGATATAGCTTGCTGGTATAGTTTATATCAGTCCCCTGAACTAAGTAAGCTATAACAGCAAAAGCAGTCTTGCGCCGGTATAACTGCATTTTACCTAGGACTTTTGCTGGTATAAAAAAATCACATCCCTAGATGATATTACTGTATCTGCAAACATTTCTAGTGTAGACCTGACCTAAGTGTGACAACACTGATGTAGACTTAGCTCCATCATTTTCGCAAACTGATAAAGTAACTGAGCTGTGTAGCATGGGATTGCTCAAGATTGTCCATGATTTGGTAAATACATATAATTAAGTATTGCATGGTCAGCACTCTTGATATTTTGGAAGAGAAAGTCACCTCATTCCGTTGGGAGTGGGGGAGAAATGGGGAGGTTGTGTTGTGAAGTTTTGTGGCTGGTTGTATGCAGTAAGATTTCACTGAGCACTAACAGTGTACGTAATAGGGAGGAGGTATGGTTCTCTGCCCCAAGAAGATTGCACTCTTGTGGTCCCCTCATTCTTAGATTGCAGAGTTTCATTAATTAAATGTGAGGCTGTTTCACTATCATATGGAATCCAGGGTTTGTGCTTTTGAATGTATACAAATACTTGTTTGAGTTGTGTTGACTGGGACACAAATTGTTGAGCCATTGATTTCCAGTTGTCAGCCTGTGATGTATATGTGCATTTTTGAAGTATTCTTGCTAGGGAAAACAAACTCCATATATTTTTACAAACAATACTAAACTAGCAGTTCCGAAATAGGACTTTCTTTTGGTACTGGCTTACTTTTTTTTCATTGTTGTGGGGAAGGTGTTTCAGAGGTGGATCATGCTCCCTATATCAGTGCATTTTGGGGGCTAAAGAGAGACAAGCTTCCACAAGTTCTCTGAAACATTTACATTATTCTGTATTGAAGAAAAAAATCCAGGTTCTGCTGTCATGGTTTAAATAAAAAAATAAAACCAGTTTGAAACAAGCATCTTAATTTTTTTAGTTTTTTAAACTTAAACTCAAGGCTCTGAAAACCAGACACTACAGAGTTAAGGTGAACACCCACCTAACCTTTACTCTGCCCTCTGGAGCTGGCAGTAACCACTGGGAATAATCTGCATGCACGCAAGCTGTGTTCATTATATTATAAGTTGCTGTATTGAATAATGAAGGGATGAGCTGGAGAAGTTTGGCTGAGCTGTGAGATGAGGCAACTGGGGGAAGAGGGGGTGTCCTGCCTCTCTGAGGGGGGTTGCTGCGTGCTCTGCCTGACCCTTGCCCCATGTGTGTGATAAAAGGAAACATGCATATGTCCCCTGTGGGCTGCAGTTTAGTATCTCTAGAATGGTGGCAATTACTCAAGCACATACTAGCTTGCATAACAGTAGCTGTGAAGCTTCAGCAGCTCCCCCCTGGATATGTACTTAAGCGGCTAGCTTGTGCTGCCATCCCTGCTAGGGTGGCTCCACTGCTATTGGTATTTGAGCTAACTAAATCAAAGCTGACTTGGGTATGTCAATGCATGCTGTTTGCAGTGTAGACATACCCACAGTAGGGCAGGTCGTCCCCAGTTACTAGCTCTCTGAGGGTGAGGATCCCCTGAATGCCAACACACACAGGAGGCAGGAAGAGGAGTTAGGGCTCCACACATTGCAGCTGATTGGAGGAGATTGGAGAGGGGCTCATAACTCCTGGAGGTGCAGCATCCTCCAGCTCCAGGCTCATATGGGAGTTTAGGGAGAGGGGCTCAGACTTCCTCCAAAGGGGCAGGCCCCCTCAAGATCTTGGCTCACCTATGAGGGGCAGAAAGCGAGGCTGAACCTGCCAAAGGGGCATTGATGAATCAGTGCTGGAACTGTGCTATAATAATCCCACAGGTGGAAAAGTAGACACATGCCTAGCAATCATTCTCACATATCTGCACAGAGCATGTGTAATTTATTATCTTTCAGAAAATAGCGGCTCTTCTAAATTAGCAGGGCAAATTTCCCAAAGAGAAAAATAGTAGCAACATACCTATGGGTCATTCTCAGATTTCTGCTAACCAAAGGGTTCATGTTTACATTGCATGTGTGTAGCTCCGGTTCCATGGACAGCACATCCCCTTGAGCCACACATGTAATGTGAAAATGGAAGGCTGGAAACCCTCTTGGCTAGTCTTTCTGCATGTGTGCTTTTCAATTGCTTTGGTGTATGAGTGTTTGGCATGTACTATTCTAGAGAGGTAAACTGTTTCTTTAATAAATATTTCAACATTGCTTCCCAAAGGGGCAGCAGGTGACATGCACTAGCTGAGATAAATGTTGCATAACTGAGATCTGTTGGGGGAGGATCAGTGCCATGATTTGAGGCCCAGATGTGTGTGTATGGGTGGAGGCGAGGCGGGAATTGATAAACTATTGATATTGTGAAATGCTCTTCTTTTCCAGGTCCTGTATTTCGGGAACCCCTTGCTCAAATGACCCAAAATTTAGACCACTAACCCTACTCCACACCCTCATGAGGCACAGCAAAATTCAAGATAATATTTAAACAGAAAGGGTATCTCAACCATTACTATAACAAAGCCGAGGCTGCACAATAATAAAATAAATTAAAAAAAACAACATACTTCAGGGGTCTTTCTATTAACACGCTCTTGATTGGATAGAAGTTTGAGGAAAAGTGGGAGGCATGATATTCAAGCAGGCCTTCCCTTGTTGCAATGGGGGAACTTTGCATAGCTATATACTCCTAACTGGAGTTAGGTCGGGGGAGGCACAGAGGAACAGAAACCAATGAACTATGATGTCCAGGGGACTCCAGACCAATCCTCCCCTTGTTGCAGTGTGTGGACTTTTATATGCATGCACACCTCATTGGATTGAACTCTGGGCAGGCTGGCACTTAGCACTGCATCTACAAGCATCAGCATTCATTAACCTCCACAACAACCCAGGAGAGTGGTAAATATTATCCTATTTTAATAACAGGGAAGCTAAAGCGCAGAGAGGCCAAGAGGTTTCCCCAAAACTAGATAGGGAGTTAGCTATGGAACTCTGTGGGAGATAAACCATTCTTGAGACACAGCTCTTGAGGCATTTACAAGTGCCTCAGTGGTTTATAATATCACTTGGCTGCAGCCCTCACCACCCGCGATTTTTAAGAAGATAAATTTAAATAGCAAAGTATCTTTGTTGAAGGTTAGCACAAATCCTTGTCTTGGGCCTTTCTAAGTAGTAGGGCCATATATTAAAGGTAAAAGCACCTTGTTATAGAAACTGATAGATGCACTCTATAGCATAGTCACAAATAAAATTGTTTCTTAAGTTACATTCAATTCATGTTTATTAGGTCTGCTTAATACTTAGTATAAGATACTTTTTAAAAATAAATACATCAAAAACCTGTAAGGAGTTCAGTATCGTGGCAACAAGCCTAGTATAAAAACGTAGAATGCAGTTTGTGATCCCTCTGTGGACTTACTTGAGATCATGGCAACCATGAATTAATTAGAAAATCCTAAAATAATGTGACTACTGCAGCTGTTGATCACTCTTGTGTACAGAATATTTTGAATGTGGTCTGTACACATTTTAGCATAGCCTGCATTCTTCCTGCTCAAAATCCTGGAATTGTTTACTAGTCTCTTCAGGACATCCTTTGGCTCTGATGATGACAATTCCTGAAGCAACCAATCTTTCCTGAAGCAGTTGAGTGGCCCAGTTGTGAGACCTGATCCTTCATTTTGGCATACAGTAAGGAAGGACTGAAGGAGGTGTAGAATGGATGGAAAAGGAGTACAGGGAATATGTATTGCAGATATGATTAGTTGGAAGTAGGCCCACAACAAGGTAGTAGTACAGCTGGTCTGCTTTCTTCTGAAAAGGCACTAAAATGTGTGCTTGCTGTGGTGCAGAGACCATCCTTGCTTCTGAGTAGCAGTAACAAAAGAGCTCAGCTGCAGTGTCTTGTCCAGGGATTCTAGAAATCCATTTGCCACAGAAAAATGCAGAATTTGCATTTTTACAGAGAATCTTTAGTTTTTACATTTTGTGAAAAAATAAAAACATATTAGCTATTAACGGAATTTTACTGAAAGTACTGGTGTCACTTATGCAATGCACACAACCTTCCCCCTTTGTGGTTGATTTTTGAATGCGCTTTAAATGTACATAGCTAAACATACTCCAATAAAGTGCTTCTGGTGTATAGAGGTTACTCAATGGGGTGTAGGAGTTCGTGTTTTTAATGCATCTTAAATTTCACTTCAGCCGCCAGACATAATTAAAGTTATGGAAAGATGCCGAAAACTTTAAAAATCACCCTAGACATTGTGTCACTGAGTTTGGCAAGGACAAATTTCACATTGATAGTAATATGCTATTCTCTACTGTATGCAGCAAGGCTGTAATTTATGTTTGAAGGCGACACTTGTAGAACACATGGAAAGCGTTAAACATAAACTGAATTAAAAGAAATGAAAACAAAAGACTCAAATAGCATGGCCATTGACAACAGTAAAGAAACAATGCACTGTGACTGGATCATTCTATTAATTGTATTTTATTATGATCGTTGGCACTGGTAGGTTTTGAACTAGCTTAAAAATTGGAAATATATCAATAAAACATTGTGTTAAATTGATACCTACGTATATTGTGACTAGAGAAACTAAAGTTCAGCATTTCATTTTAATTGTAGAAAAATGCAGATTTGTATGGTTTTTTTATCAGAGAATTTTGGGGGGTTTATCACAGAAAACTAGGATCCCTGCTTAAGTCCCACTGCTGCTCCCCCAACTTGTCACCTGGCTCTTCCTACTATCCATCTTGCCTCACACCTTCATCAGTCACACAGGCAAACTAAGGCTAGGGAAAAACCCTCTGAGTGCTGCCTGCTGCATACCAGGGATAAGAATTTACAACCCTTTCCCATACTTGGGCAAGGGAAGATATGATCTCTTGAGATGTCCTCCCTCCATTGTAGCAAGAGAACAAAGAATGCTGAAGGAAGAATCTCCCTCACAACTAAGGGAGGTGAAGAGCAACACCCTTGTCCCTTCTCGAGCATGATAAAGGACTCTGGCCAGCATTCCTTCATCTCAGTGCATGGCTTCTGGTGCTGACAAACCCTTGGAGGTTTTTAAGGCCCGGCTTGACAAAGCCCTGGCTGGGATGATTTAGTTGGGAATTGGTCCTGCTTTGAGCAGGGGGTTGGACTAGATGACCTCCTGAGGTCCCTTCCAACCCTGATATTCTATGATTCTATGACACCCCTCTGACCTCATATACACAGAAAGTTTTACTAGTTATACTGGGATAGTTATGTAGACACTTATTCTGGTACAAAAGGAGCCTTTTCATTTTAGTTTAAACCCCTTCCCATGCGACATGCTGAACTGGGAAAGAAACCCTCATATCAGAATAAGTGTGTCCACAGGGTGGGGGTTATACCAGTACCTGTACAACTATATTGGTATAACTGGTAAAACTGTCTTGTGTAAAAAAGCCTAAATATCTCCTCCATTCCCTACTGGGAGTGGGCTGAGGAATAAGGAAGTGGATTTGGAAAGGATGAATAATTAATTATGTGTAATTGGGAGTAGGCAGATTTAGTGGATTGATACAGAAGTAACAAGATCAAAGGTGAAAATGAGAGGTTGAGGGGATTGATAAAAAGTGAGAGATTTGAGATGAGATGTGTCAGAGTAAATAACAAAATAGAAACTGTACC